TAAAATAGGGAGATTATCTAGATTATCTAGGTGGGCCCAAGGTAATAGGAAGGATCCTTTAATGTGGACAAGGGAGGAAGAAGAGAGAACCTGATTGATGGCGGGTGAGAAGCCTTGACCAGATGTTGCTGGAACAGAGGGAAGGGGCCATGGGCCAAAGAATGTTGGAAAGAGCGAGGAAGCAGATTCTCCTCGACAGCCTCCAGGGAAGGAATGTGGCTCTGTTGACACTCCTTGATTTTAGCCTAGTGAGACCCTTCTGGGACTTCTGAACTTCACAACTGCAAGATAATAAACCTGTGTTGTTTTAAACCAGCAAGATGGATCATGGTAATTTGTAATTAGAAAACCGATACCAGATGAAAGGTTCTCCTCTCCTGGTGACCGCTCCCTCCTGTAGGGTTGGATGCTGTGACAGCTGGTGAGACAGAACTTTAGACCACGTTTCACAGAAGGGTGGAGTTAATGCATGAACAGGAATGTTCCTGAATAACTTGCCTTTCTCTCCTGCCCTCTCTCACAAGGGCACAGGCTTGGACACAGCTTCCCTTCCCCCCTCTTTCTCCTCTGCTAATTCCTTCTCTGTTTGGTGGCTCAGGCAGAAGGAAGGCAAAGTGGTCCCTTTTGGGCTGTGTCTCAATGACAGTCTCCAGTCCAGCTTTGCCAGCGAGGTCAGAGTGCTCTGGGTGGTGTGGCACTTGTCTGGCCGTTAATAAAATGGACACTTGGGTCTCCTTTTCTGTTCCTGTTCTCGTCCCCTTCTCCATTGACTGGGCTCAGAGGGATGGCATGCAGGTGGAGCTCCCTGGGGCCTTGAGGGTAAGCTTAAAGGGGATTCTATATAGTGGATTTTAATAGGCAAAAGCTCTGAAAGTAACTCTGACCAGCTGCTTTGTAAATGCAGCTGAAGCTAGAATGAAATTTCCCCAATTCCGTGGAGTATAGACAACCAGACTGTGAAATTTTGGCTTCAGATTACGTGTGGCAGTCTTCAGTAGGTGATGCTAGGTTGACTGTCCCAGTTTCCTGTCACTTTGAGATTGCACTCACGGCCACAGCAGGAATCATGGAGGGATTTAATTTATGATCTGATCACAGGCTTCTGGAATTATTTCCTGCCACATAATCTCCAGTTGGCTTGGAGTTGTACATTTATTAAGCTCTGACTGGGGCTGGGGATTTCAGAGGCCCGCTGTGGGACTAACCACAGTTATAAAGGAATAGGACCCCTGTAGAGAGGAAATGTCATTGTAGGAGAAAGTGGAAAAAACCTCAGTGGAATGATTACCAACCTGAAAGAACAATGAATAAGTCCTGTACCTGGAATGCTCTGTCCTTATAGAACAGACTTATTCAGGGAGCCTGGGGTTCATGTCAGAAACAAGTCTTGGTCTTTTTCCTTTTTTTCTTTTGATGCCGGGGAGAAAACTCAGGGGAGTTTAACCACTGAACCACATCCCCAGCCCTATTTTGTATTTTATTTAGAGACAGGGTCTGAGTTGCTAAGCACCTCACTGTTGCTGAAGCTGGCTTTGACCTTCCGATCTTCTGGCTTCAGCCTCCCAGGCTGCTAAGGATTACAGGCCCTCACCACAGTGCCTGGCTCAAGTCTTGGTCCTGTAGTGAGAAAAGTCAGAGAGAAAGGAAAAGAAAGAAGGTGTTTCTGTTGATTGAGCTGGGAGAAAGGATGAGATTTTTCTGGGAGAAACGTTGAGCTCTTAGCGTCCATGCTGAAGATGGATTAAAAGGAAAAATTAAGTGTTTATATGCTTAAGTACTTTTAAGGATAAAACTATAGAAGAGTAGAAGATTCATTCCTTACTAGACCAGGAGGGTGAAGGAGGCCCCAAGAAATTTAACAAGGATGCAAAAGAGAAGGAGGCCACTAGAGGGAGCATGGACCCAGGAAATATTGTGGACAGTGGCTCAGACCTAGAGGTTTAGTGTAGAGATTGCAAACGCTACTAGGTAAGTTTCAGAGGGACACAGTTGTTCATTTCTTTCTTTCTTTCTTTTTCTTTTTCATTTATTTATTTATTTTTTTGTGGGGATATTGCCCAGGCCTTGAAGAAACATGCCCAGGAGCCTTGCCTCACAGTTACTGAGAGGATGAAACTCGTGCACAAGAGAAATAGGTCTAGTTGAGTTAAATTGGGACTTCTGGGAACAATACTTTAAATCTCTAACTAGAACACGATAACCCAAAAGACAGTGCGCAGTACCACCCTCTAGTGGTAACTTCATGCCAGAATTAACCCTCCTTAGGAGAGTTCTCTGTTTGAGGTTCAAGTTTAAGTGGTGCAGACTGAGAGCATCCTCACTGGTCTTTCTCAGAAGTCTCCAGGTTTCTGCCACGTGTGTTGCTGGCATTACAAGCCAATTCCTGCTGAGATCAAAGCTTCTGCCTGTCTTTTGGAATTTGAGGAGGAGGGAGAGACTGTCACTGAGATGCCTTGGCATCACCGCTTCCCTTCCAGCTGCATCTGTACCCTGTGCCACCATGAGCTGCCTGCTGTTGACCCTCAGGAGGAACCCAGTGAGATATACACGGCTGGAGACCTTACAGCCACACACACAGAAAGTGCTATGGCTGACTCTGGCCTTCCATCTCTTCGTCATGCCCCTTGAACCTGTGTTAAAGGGTTCTCCCTGACCCCCCTCCCACCCCAGCACCACCAAAAACCATGCACTAGGTAATGGACACAGAATTTCCCTGGGACCTGAGAATATGCTGAGTTCCTAAGTTTTGTAGGTGTGGAGCTGGTGCCATGGACTCCCATGTGTCCTAGTTACACTGATTTTGAAAAAGATGGATCCCTGAGCTGCTTGGGGATGGAGTAAGTGAACTTTGAAGAAGCTAGAGGAAGTACTACCACTTCAGGGGGAAAAAGACCAGGATGTAGCCAATGGCCAGATCTAGATTCCTTTGCAGTGAGTCCCCCTGGCTAATAAGGAGCAAAATAAGAAATGGGTACCCGGGGAGGGTGTGCGTCAGACTTTTATTTCCTTTCATTTTAGTTTAAAAGAGAGTTTAATTTCAGTTTTATTATTTGCTCCTCTTGAAATTAGGAGGGAGTTTATGTTCAAATTAAGGGCATTTTATCGTTTGCTGGGGTTGAAATGTTTGATATTTGACGCTGTCACTCAGTGCTTATTTGGTAAGCCTCAAGGGAGCTGTATTGAGCCATGGGACTGAGCTGACTGCAGAGAGGAAGTAGAGTCTAGGGCACGGTACAGTTTTGGAGTTAATTCCTGTCCTACTAGGACCCAATCCAGAGGTCTCTGGGGCCGACGGCAGCTTGGCAACCTCACTGATTCCAGGAGGATACAAAGAAGAGTGGGTGAGAACTTGTACCCCACTTTTCCCCCCCTGGAAGTGTGATTAACAAATATTAAAGTCTTTTGCAAGGGTTGGGTGAGAAAATATGTGTAAAGCACTTGGAAATAGGGCCTGCCACATAATGAGAGCTTTATAAATCCGCGGGCCACATGGTCACGTGTTTGGTCACAAATGGCCAAATGTCTGCAAAATGGGTGGTCATCCTGGTGCACGGTTGGTCTTCTCCCTCCCACTCCCATTCCCGCCTGTGATTGATCACAGGCCCATCAGTTAAGCCTTCCGCATTGAGAAAAGAGCAGGTGCTCATGTTGGGGGCTTTCTCCTTTATATGTTCCCTTCAGACAGAGGAGCAGGTTGGAGGGAGCCCACCTTTGCATTCCTTCCTCATTCCCTCCTGGGGGACAGGAGATGGCCTTGGGAGTGAAAGCCTGGCAGTGGCTCCTCCCACTCTGTCTCTGCTCACTTAGAGAGTGGGCTGGGGTGGGGAGAGTCCGGGAGAGAGGAGAAGGCCCCTTTACTCTTTGGCCTCTTATCTAGTTTTAATAGGAAGCCCTGCATTTGGGCCTTATTGGCACAGCTGTCTAGTCATTAGTCAGGTGGACACTTTGCCACTGGGCAATGGGCCTCATGTCATTTTCTGTAGTGGTCTGAACTGGAGAGTGTCTTTCCTCCAAGACACTTCGATTTTTCTAATTTAATCTTAGGAAACCTTCTTTCCAGTTTCTTCCTGAACTCCACAATCTTTGATATTTTGGCAAGAATTTTTTGCAGTGTCTCAAGCAATGGCTTGAGAAAAATTCTTAGTAGAAATTTTCGTCTGGTTTGGTGGCATTGTGGGAGTGGGTACTAAGCAAGGGAAAGTGGACAGGTGGCTACTTTCTACACCAGGAGAAAGCAAAGGAAGGAAGGAGATTTTTGTATCTGTCTTCGGCTCTGAACACACTTCTTGCAGATATTCCTGGGCCAGGATACTGCCAGTCCTGCACTGTGGTAGGTCAGCTGCTCTATTGGTATCCTGAGTGCCTTTCCTGTGTCCTTGGAATAGGGTGCCAGAGACCAGAGGTGTCTTCCTTCCTGCCATCCTACCTGCCCTTGAGCGGACAGCCTTCTCTTCCTTTGGAAGACACAAAGAGACTTTCATTCTCTCATGTTCTTTTTTACCCAACGAGTCCCGCATGCCCAGGGCCACAGGGAGATGGGCACATTCTAGGTAGATGGGTCTGGCACATGGTGGATGTTAGCGGAGTGAGTAAATCAAAGTGATCCACCTTGAGAAGTTCTGGCAGATGAGGGTGGAGAGGAAGGAGGGTGGAGAGGAAGGAGGGTGGAGAGAAGGCAAGAAGGTATGACATTGGACTCTGGAACCCACTAGGAAATGTACTAGAAAATAAACAGGGAGTTTGGAGAGTGCAGTGTCCTGGAAACTTTCGAGGGGAATTTTCTAGAAGGGATCCAGTCCTCCATTGACAATGCAGAGTCAGGACTGAGAGGGAGCTGTGAGACTTGTTGTTGTCAGTGATTTGGGGGGGAATAGTGGTAGGCTATGGGTGGGCAAGGGCAGACTGCAGGGAGGTGCCACTCTGATGACGTGGAGGGGCAGGGCGAGCAGTGTCAAGGCTTCGCCAAGGATGTTGTGGGATGCAGAGACTTGAACAGGTCTGTAAGCAGAGGAGAATGAGAGGTTTGAACTCAAGGGGGTTGGGGAGTTGAGGAAGAATAGTGGGGGCCTCCTGCCTCCTTTCCCACAAAGTCACCACAGAGCTGCGTTTGGGTTGAATGCTTTAATGCCTGGATTTGAGGGGCTGCGAGATGGTGGTTGGGAAGAGTGCAGTGTGGGTGATGTAGGCACCTCTCATGGCCCAGCCTGGGATGCAGAGTCCTTGTCCTCAGGGCCTCATGACATCATTGGCATCAGGTATCAGGCTTTTCAGATAGTCCAAGATTCCTTTGATTGCTTTCTTCAGATCCTTCCCCATTTTATTGCCAAACTTGTTCAGTTTTCCCTCCGAGGTGGTTGCTGGGAAATATGGAGAGAAAAAATGTCAAGTTCAGGCTGGTTCTCTCCCAACCCTTCCCAGCATTCTGGCAACAACCTTCCACAGAACTAGGAATCAGTGGGGTCTTTTGATCTCACTTATATGTCATTCTCGTTCCCCCTCTATCTAACCCCGCTTTATTCCCATCCAAGTGGCTCCCCCACCCCTGCCCTTTTCTTCTCAACACCTCCCCAGTCATGTCCTCTCTTCCCTGGCTCATACCAGCAGTAGGAGTGAATTCTGTTGTCTCTTCTGTGGAACTTTTGGAACTGTCCCCTTGGAGTATGGGGTGAAGGATTTCAGGTTTTTGACTCATTGGTCTGGTGGATTTTACCACCACGTTCTCTTTGGAAATCAGCTCTTCACTGAAGAGGAAAGGCTCCACGGTGAGGTCCTCACTGGAGATAGAGGCTTTCCTGGGATGGTTGTTAGAAGCAAACTGGGAAGCTGGGACTAAGGAGATGGAGGGAGTATGGGGCAGAGAAACAGCTCCTGGTGAGAAGCAGTCAGCCATTGCCATATCCGTCCCTTAACTTGTTCAGGGCATCAGGGTGTATCCCACTTGTATGTTGCTGAACCAACATACAAGTGGGATAGATGTCCTGTGCCAAGCCAATTCTATGAGCACCGCCGAGGTACCTATTTGAGTTTGAATGACATTGATTAGGAATTACACTCTTCTCACCGAATCCACCTAACCAGTTAAAAGAAATTAACTCGGCTAACATTTGTCTGGTTCATAGGAGGAATTCATAAATATTGTTTTTTTTTCCTGTGAATTCTGGATATTATCACTTGAGATTAACCCATGTCTACAGATAATCTACAAAGTCAGACCTCCCCATGTGCATGGTTTTGGGATTATGGGGGTGAGGAGGCTGGAACTGGTGACCCTACGGCATCCTTGCCTTAGGTGAACTGAGGCCCTTTTCTGGCTAGCATTTGGATGTGAGGTGTGGTCCCACTCCAGGCTCTGATGACTAGTCAGCATGAACGCTGTTCAAATGGTTCCTGTTCCCCAGATCTTGGCCAGTTATTGCAGCAGGAAGGATTAAGACCAACACCAAGAGGGACTGTCTTTACTCCACTTCTTCAGGTGAGGAATTTGTCATTTATCGAACAACTTTTTACCCCCACCATCTTATTCTAAAGGACACTAGTGTGAGACTTACAGTCACTGATGACTTGAGTCTTCGAAGGGATTTCATCTTCTGATTCTGAAAAAGAAGAGATTAAAGCCTCCAGGGGTCTCAAGACAGCTAACATGTGAGTCATTCCTCTATAACCAACCCCATACCCCAACATTCCCAATCTCCCTTGCTTTTCTAATGTTTTTTTTTTCTCATTTCTAACCCTCTAGGTAATTTATTTAATGTTTATTATATTTTCTTTCTCCTTGAATATAATCTTATGAAGATTGAGGACTGTCTAGTCTGTTAGTGGATCCCAAGTCCTTAGAGCTGTGTCTGACACAGAGTAAGTGCTACTAAATAGCTATTGAATGTGTGTGTGTGTGTGTGTGTGTGTGTGATCATACAGAGAGAGAAGGAGGTCCAGGGATGGTACTGACTCTGCTTGGGTAGTTCACCATTGCCAGAGGCTGAGATCCAATCTGAATCTCTGTTGACCCATATTCCACCCTGATTTGGGCCTAGCTTATCTCCCTTGGCCCCAGTCTCAAGCTTTCTGGGTTTCAGGATCCCGAGGGTCATATGCCTTGGTTCCCTACCTCCATTCCTTGGTCATCCCAAGTGTGGACTTTCTCTTCTGCATCTCCCCATCTCTCTGCATAGCACATTACAAGGATTTAGAAAGGGCCTCCCTTGTGCTGATTCTCCCAGATGACAACTCGATGACCTCTAGGGGACTGAGGGAATGAGAAGGAGGCTATACTCACCATGAAGGATGGCCAGAGAGGTGGAGGCCAGGCTGGCCAGCAGCAGGACAGCGAAGAGCTTCATGGTGGAGCTGGAGCAGGAGCTGTTTGTCCTGGGGGAGGCTCTAGTGAGGAGGCAGTCTGGAAGGGGCCTTATTTATTTTGGGGGTAAGAATGGACTATGGGGAAACTGGCTTGGGATTGGAGCAAACCAGGTTTCCCCTTCTAAGTTCCCTGTTCTGAATATGTTTATTTTTGGGAACTGGAGATTCTGGGAAACTAGTTAACAGGAAAGTAAGGCCCCCAGCCTTCCCCCTGGCCAGGGCCATACCACAGGTGTGCCAGCCCCAGGCTCCATTGTGTATGCCTATGGAATAATTTCCTGGGTCCGAGTTCCCCTCCTTCATGGTACTCATGACTGGTATTTTTTTTTTTTTTACTTTTATTCATGCAATCATTCAATTAATATCCATCTCCCACAGAAGAATGGATCTTCCATGACGACTGGAATTCTACCCATTTTGCTGGCATTGTTTTCCCAATACTTTTCAAGTAGCTGGTACAAAGTAGGAGCCTGGAAAATATTAATTGGGTGACTGAATCAAGGAGGGGTCAAATTGCCCTCTAGGGTGCAGATAAATCTCCCCAACAGTTCAGGAGTGAGGCTGTTACAGGAATTCCAAGAAACTGTCCAGAGTTTGTTCCCGTGGGATATTTCATTTAATTCGTGACAGGAGGTTATTTATTGGCATAGAAATTCATATTCACGGAGGTGAGGTGATTTGTATAAAGTCACATATTTGGGTGCATTTGAACCAGGTCAGACTAGTTCCACATCCAGAGTCTAGTGGGCAAGATGAAGCAGGAGGTTTCCTGAGGAGGGATCTGGAGAGGAGGTGGAAGGTGGGCCTAGGACTTGGGTTCTGGTCCTGGGCCTAGGGACTGAGTTAGTAGATCTCCTCTGTCCTCATGTAGCTGGAAGTTTTCATGACCCTCTGAAACCTCTGTTTCTGGATCATCTCCTGGCAGGAGAGGGCTGCCAACCCTGAGACGGAGCGTCCTGCCCTCAGCAGGGAGCATGCTGGCTGGGCATGTGGGGTCCCACGGAGCGCAGCATAGGCCTATAGACCACAGTGAGCGCTGGGCTGTGCCAGTTCATTAGAGTCCTTCCTTTCCTGGAGAGGAGAGCCCCAGGAGCTGGCAGTTGTCCTCCAATTGCTGCAGGACAGTCCTCTCCTTAGGCAAGATGGTGAGGTGAAGGAAGTTTGTCTTGGGCTACCTCTCCCCTCTCCTTCCTTCCTGATTCCCTCTCTTACCATCAATCTTCCCTCCCGTACCTCAGGGGACGTAGGAGCAGGACATGGACAAATAAGGGCAGTCACAGTGTGTCCATGAGGACAGGATTTCAGTTCTGTAGGCTTATTTCCTGATACACCTAAAAACCCCCCATCACCGCTCTTCTGGCCTCCATTCTGTCTCCACCAAAATCCATCGTCCACACTAATGCTGGGGGGATCTCCTGAATTTCATGCAGCTTCCTACTTGACAGTCTTTAATGACTAGCCATTACCCAGGAGATCAAGCCCAGTATTCTCAGCCTTCCCAACCTCACCTCTTACTTCTGTGAGTTATTCCCCAGTCAGTGACCTTTTAGACCTGGGTTCATGCTACTTCTCTTTCAGAATTGCTGTCGCCTCTCCTTCTTCTTGGTATGTTCCTGCATCATGATCGAGACCAGACCTCCCCACTGGAGGGAAGACAAGCACCTTGGTCAGTCATCTCACCTCGGTGGCTCCACAATGTATTGTTCATATTGTTATCTTTTTATTATCACATTCCAGTACTATTTGTTGAGGAATGACATGTGCAAGTTTTGGAGATGTAATGGCAAACAAAACCATCTGGTCCCTGGCCTTATGAGGTTGATTGTCTAGCACTTATCACATTCTATTGTGATTTGAAATCTGTTGGTTTTACTGGTCAATTGCCATGTCAAGGACAAGAGCCAGAGTTTGTTTATCTCTGCATCTCGATTTATTTAGCATAGATCTTAACATTTGCAGCATGCTCCAGTCTGGCTTTATTGAATGAGTCAATTTGTTTATTCAAAGATGGCCCCTAGGGACATGTTTGCCCAATGAAGTGTCTCCTGAGTGTGTTTGAGATCTTTCAGAGGCTTTCATCAACAAATAAATATTTCAAAAAGAATTCAATGAGTGCCTGCTGTCTACCAGGCATGATGCGGCTTTTAGAGCTCTAACAAAACAGATCTTGTCCCTGTTCTTCCAGCTCAAGGTACCGGTTAAAATAGAAGTCACTCAGCCAAATGTCGATTTAATATAAGGAATGGAAAAAAAATTCAGAATAAGTATGTCTCAAATATTGCACAAGCCATAATAAATATGTCTGAAAACATATTTAATGTGCTCTATATTTATTTGCTAAATTTGGCCTTCAAGACTCCAGGCCAGCATCAGACTAGCAGGAGAAGCAGGGAAGACTTCCCATATATACTCTTTCTGACCTGTCACTCTAAGGTCCCGGCCTCATCCTATGTGCTTGGTTCAGGTGTAGGGAAAGTTGCCTGCCATATCGTAACTTCCTCCTGAGAAAAGAGGTCACAGGGGTTTTTGCATATAAATGTCAGAGTGACCTTATTATGTTGATCATTCCTGTTTTGTGAGGAATCTGGACTTTATTCAGAGGCAACTCTCAATAGGGTGGATATAAGGAAGACCAGTAGCTTCTGAGGAGGCCAGGGTGAGAGAGCTGTCTTTTCTGGTGCTCCATATTGGATGGTTTCTAAGTCAACAAGGTCCTCCTCAGTGAATTTTGAGACAGAGATACAAAAATAAAGAGACATAAACACAGTAGAGGAAGGAAGGAGGAAGCAGAGAAACGGAGATAGAGTTGGGCATGATGGTACATGCCTGTAATTCCAGTGACTTGGGAGGCTGAGGCAGGAGGATCTCAAGTTCAAGGCCAGCCAGGGCAACTTAGTGGCATCCTGTCTCAAAATAAAAAAAGGGCTGAGGATGGAAGCGAATGGCAGAGTGCCCCTAGATACAATGCGCAGTATCATGAAAAAAAAAATATGGAGACAGAGGAGAAAACGCATGCCTAGAGGAGCTCTGGACCTGGCGTCAGATTTGCCAGAGCAGCTAGAGGGGCTTATGGCTCAGTTACGTTTGTACCCTGTACTCCAGGAGGCCTCCTGAAATGGTTCCTGTTCTTCCTTCCTTCTGTCACTGGTTGTCACCTGAGTGCATCTTATAAATGGGAAGAAAATCAATTTCATTTGACGATATTAACTCAGAACACATGCATCTAAGGTTCAGCTCTGCTACCCCTTCCACTATATGGCCTCTATCCAGCCATGCCCTTTCTCTGGGCCTCAGTCTCCTCCTCAGCAAGGAGAGGGAAGGTCCAGATGGCTTTCCAGGGCCATCTAGGGTTCTTGTTCCAATATCTGACAGCCCCTTGGGTCCAGGGTAAACTTCTTGGGAGGTTTTCATTTTAGAAGGAGAAGGGCATCAGGCTGGTTAGACTCAAACTTCAGTGCACATCAGAAACAGCTGAGGGAGTTTTTTTGAATTTCTTTCCTCTTCATTTAGTAGGCCTGGGATGCAGCCCAGGAATATTCTTCTAAAACCAGAGTCCAGGGAAGTTCTGAAGTGGAGGTGTTGGGGACAACCCTATCTTAGGTTGACAGCATGGCTTCTAAGCAAAAGCTCAAACTTCTTCTGTGGCAAAGATTTGGGGAGTCAGAGAGTGTTATTGTGTGTGTGTGTGTGTGTGTATGAGAGAGAGAGAGAGAGAGAGAGAGAGAGAGAGAGAGAGAGAGATTCAATCATTCAATACCTATGTTATTAGCATTCTCAAGGCCCTGGTTAATCCCCAGCACTGCAAAACAAATAAATAAATACCTATGTTTTAAAGCCAGTACATCCTTAAACAAGGGCCCCTGTAATAACCCACACACATATCCCCTGAATAAATTAATAGAAATATGAGCATCCTTGACACATTGATGTGACCATAATGGGTCACAACCATATCTGTTTTAGGTTTTTCCTCAGTTCTCCTCAATAGCAACCTCCATCCCTCCCACTGTGCACTCAGCCATTTTTTATCATGGAGGACAGACATCCTGCCCCCAGGCTGCTTAACATCCAACCACGCTGATGTGTTATAGCCCTTCTCACAGCCCACAGTCCTCACACCAGGAGACAATCCCACAGACCAGAGTTCTGGACACAGAGCCTTCAATTTGGGAATTGCTTATGTAGCTTGAGGAGTCACTCCTAAGGGCTACAAGAGGATAGAAAGATGACAGCCCTGACCTTCATAGGTTGGGGAGTGACCGAGAGATGTGTCCATAACTGCAGCTTCCAGTGTAGCTAGCCTGTCCAGTTCTCACACCCAGGGTCACTCACACACACCGGATCCAGCTCACTGAGCTCCATGGGGACATTGAGTGGCCAGCCCACATGGACAACGTTTTTCAGAACCCATTCTCTTTCATATGGAGAGTATTTTCACAGACTGCTCAGGCGGAGCCACGTCTGGCTCAGACCTTCCTGCAGAGACAGTGGCTATGGCTGTGACATATGATATGACACATCAGCCATTGGCTCTGAAGGAGGAACTGGAGGCTCACTCAGGAGGAACCATTCGAACGTGACTAGAAATAAGGCAAAAGCTGCTCTCTCCCCAGCTGCTCCAGTGTGCTGTGAAAGTGGGGTCTTCCTGTCTCTGAGCTCCCCTGAATGTCATTCAGAACACTCCGTTTCCTGGATAACCTCAGCTGGGACCCTCTTGCCTGTGAGTGATGGACATTCTAATTTGGCTAGCTCAAACAATAAAAAAAGGTGCTATCTCACCTAACAGGAATACTGAACGAGGCTTGGTTAATTCAGCAGCTCAATGAAATCATCAAGGACTTCAGATTCCTTTTCTTCCCATGGCTCTTCTCTGTCCGGGAGCCTGTCTTTCGGCCATTTATCTTCAGTAGCAAGCTGGCTGTTGCCACTCTTTGCAATATTCAGAGGCAGAAAAAGACTCTTCTGTTGTAATTATGTATTTTTTTTGTCAGCAGAACCCACACATTTATTCTTTGGCTTATTGAGAACTGTTATGGTTAGAAAGGCCAAGTGGAAGTAGAAGTCTCTCAAACTGTTTGAGCCCATTGTTTGGCTAACACAGTCCATCAGAAGTAATCATGCACCAGATGGAATGGTAGAGAACAGTACTCTGTTCAGTTCTCTGGTATAACCCTTGCAAAAGCTGATTATGTCAC